CCTCTGCCCCTCTGCCTCTGCCCCTCTGCCCCTCTGCCCCTCTGCCCCTCTGCCCTCTGCCCTCTGCCCCTCTGCCCCTCTGCCCCTCTGCCCCTCTGCCCCTCTGCCCTCTGCCCCTCTGCCCCTCTGCCTGCCCTCTGCCCCTCTGCCCCTCTGCCCCTCTGCCCCTCTGCCCCTCTGCCCCTCTGCCCCTCTGCCCCTCTGCCCCTCTGCCCCTCTGCCCCTCTGCCCCTCTGCCCCTCTGCCTCTGCCCCTCTGCCCTCTGCCCCTCTGCCCCTCTGCCCCTCTGCCCTCTGCCCCTCTGCCCCTCTGCCCCTCTGCCCCTCTGCCCCTCTGCCCTCTGCCCCTCTGCCTCTGCCCCTCTGCCCCTCTGCCCTCTGCCCCTCTGCCCTCTGCCCCTCTGCCCTCTGCCCCTCTGCCCCTCTGCCCCTCTGCCCCTCTGCCCCTCTGCCCTCTGCCCCTCTGCCCCTCTGCCCCTCTGCCCCTCTGCCCCTCTGCCCCTCTGCCCCTCTGCCCCGTTGCACAGGGATGTACCTTTTAGAGGAAAGTGAGACCTGAGTTAGTACCTTTATTGTTTAGTCTGGTTAGTCTCTGTAAGATAAGGTAAGAAATACTCTTGCATGATCAGAGCTCACATCCCTAATGCATTTTCAAGGGTGTCTCAGTCTTTGACCCCTTTTCAAACTTTATGTTACTGTCTTATCCTCACTTGCCCCTCCCCATATGCACCTACATGTGTGCTGGACTTGAGCTCCCTCCCCTGATGAGTTTGGGGCCTGGCTGACATGTACCCCCACTCTCCCAGCAGCAGCTCTAGCCTGTACCCCAGTTCTTGTATGCATAAAGAAAAAAGAAAAAAGATTTACCCTCAACTGATAAAGTCCTAAAATTCCCCTAACAAAAGTCTTTAACCCACAGTGATTCAGTCATGATAAACTTACTCAATTCTCAACACTGACTCTTATGTTCCTGCTCTCCTTTCTTTCTGGGGTCACCATCTGTCCTCAGCACTGAGGTTAGTGGATCTGCATGAGTCTGGAAAACTGAAACACCAACTTGCTGTGGACCTGGATAACAACATTCACATCCAGTGGCAAAAACATAGTTACCCTCTGATAGGATCAATGGCCTATTCCGTCAAGGAGATGGAGTACCTGGCCCGCGTTATTGACAGAACTGGTGGAGGAAAAAATACTATTGTTGTTATTTCTCTGGGCCAGCATTTCAGACCCTTCCCTGTTGATGTGTTCCTACGAAGGGCCCTCAATATACATGAAGCTGTTCTGCGTCTTCTTCTGAGAAGCCCAGACACTGTGGTTGTCATCAAGGCAGAAAACACCAGAGAGATGAGCCACGATGTGGAGAGATTTGCTGACTTCCATGGTTATGTGCAGTATCTTGCCTTGAAGGACATTTTCCAGGATCTCAACGTGGGCTTTATTGATGCCTGGGATATGACAATTGCATATGGCACAAGCAATGTCCATCCACCATTACCTGTTGTTAAAAATCAGATTAATATACTGTTAAACTACTTGTGTTAAAAAAAAAAAAAAAACCTGAAATTCGGGCCTCCCTGGTGGCTCAAGGGGTGAAGCACCAGCACTATGAAGCAATCCATAGCTACTTCAGTAAATGTTCAATCCCCGGGCAGGAAGGGGACCTACATGGCAAAACAGACCTCTCCTATCTTGCTCTCTGTTCCCTTCAGCAGTGTATTTCAGTCAGTCTGCCTGTTCCGCTCCCTATTCTGTCTCTGGTGAAACCTCTCACCAACTCCCTCTGCACCTCTGGCTGTACCCAGCTCCTGTATGCATAAGTAAATACGTAAGATTACCATGTTACCATGGCAGAAGTGTCTGTGTGACAGAAAATCACCTATATAATTTATGATCCACAATCCACTGATTTAGCTCAGTCACCTATTTCTAATAAAGGTTCCCACTTAAAAACTGGAAAATTCACAAAAAGTACTTATTCTTGATCAGAGTCATGCCATTCCTCACTCACACAAAAAGTTGACACCTACTCACCAAATGAAGGAACACCAATATATTAGACAATTATTATCTGCTCTGAAAACAGTTATTAAAGAAAATACATATAGCGTGGGAGACTTCAACACCCACTCTCACCAATGGACAGATCAACGAGACAAAAAATAAACAAAGACACAAGAGCCCTAAATAAAGACATAGAACTCATGGACTTAACAGGCATCTATAGGACACTGCACTCCAAAAAAATCTGAGTACACATTTTTCTCAAATGCACATGGATCATTCTCCAGAATCTATCACATACTGGGCCACAAGACAAACAACAGATACATGAAAATCAAAATCATTCCAACTATCTTCTCCTATCATAAGGCATCAAGCTAGAAATAAATCATGAAAAGAAAACAAGGAACCTTCCCACTTTATGGAGATTGAAATCCACACTACTGGAAGACCACTGGACTAAAGAGGAGATCAAAAAAGAAATTTAAAAATACTTTGAGTTGAATGACAAGGAGGACACCACTTTCCAGAATGTATGGGATGCAGCAAAAGTGGTAGTAAGAGGAAAATATATAGCAATACAGGCTCACATCAACAAACAAGAAAGAACTCAAAGCAACAACCTAATCTCACATCTAGAAAAAGAACAAAAAACACCCTAAGGCCAGTAGAAGAAAGGAAAAAATAAAAATCAAAGCAGAAATAATTGAATTAGAAATTAAAAAAAAAATCCAAAATATCAATGAAACCAAGTTGGTTCTTTGAAAAAATAAATAGACAAACCTCTAGCAAGGATGACAAAGAAAAAACGGGAGAAAAAGTATGTGATTATAAATGGAAGAGGAGAAATCACAACAGACTCAGCAGAAATCAAAAGAATAATAAGAGATTACTATGAACACTTATATGCAAACAAATTTAACAACCTAGAAGAGATGGACAAATTCCTAGAACGATATAATCATCCAAAGCTGGACAAAGAAGAAATAGAACAACAGACCAATTACAAGCAGTGAAATTGAAGCAGTAATCCAAGCACTCCCCCAAAACAAAAGCCCAGGCCCAGATGGCTTCACAAATGAATTCTACCAAATGTTCAGCAGTAAATTAGTGCCTATCCTACACAAACTCTTTCAAAAAATCGAAAAAGAAGGAATACTACCAAATACGTTCTACGAAGCCAACATTACAGTAATACCAAAACCCAACAAAGACAGCACAAAGAAAATTACAGGCCAATCTCTCTAATGAACACTGATGCAAAAATCCTCAACAAAATCCTTGCCAACAGAATCCAACAATACATCCATAAGATAATTCACCACGGCCAAGTAGGATTTATTCCATGGCCACAAGGATGGTTCAACATCCGAAAATCAATGCAATCCAACACATCAACAAAAAGAAATATGAAAACCATATGATAATATCCATAGATGCTAAGAATGCATTCAACAAAGTACAACACCCATTTATGATAAAGGCCCTTGAAATCCTCGGGATTCAAGGACCATACCTCAACATCATAAAGGCCATCTATGACAAGCCCACAGCCATTATCATTTTCAATGGTGAAAAGCTGAAAGCATTCCCATTAAGATACGGACAAGACAAGGATGTCCACTCTCTCACCACTGCTTTTCAACATAATGCTTGAAGTCCTAGCCAGAGCATTAAGACTAGAGGAAGACATACAACAAATCCAAATAGGCAAGGAAGAAGCCAAACTATCACTATTTGCGGATGATATGATAATATAGTGAACCCCAAAAACTCCACAGAAAAACTAATTAAAATAATCAGTTTAGTAAAGTTGCTGGATATAAAATCAACGAACAAAAAACAGTAGCCTTCCTATACACAAACAATCTGATGAAAAAGAAATCAAGAAAACCATTCCTTTTATTATTGAAACAAAAAAATCAAATACTTGGGAATAAACCAAAAAAAGAAGTAAAGGTCTTATACAAAGAAAACTATAACACTGTCTAAAGAAATAGAAGTAGATACAAAGAAATGAAAAGACATCCCCTGCTCATGGATTGGAAGAATTAACATTATCAAAATGGCCATTCCAACCAAAAGCAATCTACAGATTCAATGCTATTCCACTTAAAATTTCAATGTCATTCTTCAAAGAAATAGAACATATGGAGCCACCAAAAACTCCAAGTAGCCAAAACCCTCCTGAAAAAAAGGGAATGGAGGCATCACACTCCCAGATTTCAACTATACTACAAAGCCATAATTATCAAAACTGCATGGTATTGGAACCAGAACAGACACACGGACCAATGGAACCAAATAGAAAGCCAAGAAATAAACCCACAAATCTATGGTGAACTAATCTTAGACAAAGGAGCAAAGAATATGCAGTGGAGAAAAGAAGGTTTGTTCAATAAATGCTGCTGGGAAAACTGGGTCACTAGATGCAAAAGAATGAAGCTTGACTATTACCTCACACCATGCACAAAAACCAGCTCAAAATGAATTAAAGAACTAGACTTTAAGACCTGAAACCATAAAATATATAGAAGGCAATAGAGGCAAAACACTACATGACATGCACCTCAAAGACATCTTTACAGACACCACCCAAAGCAGTGATAGTGAAGGCAAAGATCAACAGCTGGGGCTACATCAAAGAGCTTCTGCACAGCAAAAGAGACAATAACCAAAACAAATAGAAACCCCACCGACTGGGAGAACATTTTTGCACACAACACTAATGATAAAGGATTGATCACCAAAATCTACTAAGAGCTGATGAGACTCAACAGAAACAAAAAATAGTCCAGTCAAAAAATGGGCAGAAGAGCTAAAAAGAAACTTCTCCAAAGAAGAAATACAAATGGCCAACAGGCATATGAAAAAATGTTCAACATCACTTGTAATCAGGGAAATGCAAATCAAAACTACCATGAGATACCATCTCACACCAGTGAGAATGGCACATATTAAAAAAACTAGCAACAACAAATATTCACGAGCATGTGGAGAAAAAGGAACTCTCCTGTGCTGTTGGTGGGAGTGCAAACTGGTCCAACCACTATGGAGAGCTGTGTGGAGATTTCTGGACCTACTAAACATAGAGCTTCCATATGATCCAGCAATTCCACTCCTAGGTATTTACCCAAAGGACACAGAAACATCAACTCCAAAGAGCACCTGCACCCCTGTGTTTATAGCAGCACAATTTACAATAGCTAAGCTTTGTAAACAACCCAAATGCCCAAAAATAGATGACTGGATCAAGATGTGGTACATATACACCATGGAATTTTACTCAGCGTTCAAAAAAGATAAACACATGCCATTTGCAGCAACATGGATGGAGCTGGAAGGGATCATGATCAGCAAAATAAGCCAGAAAGAAAAAAGAAAATTACCGGATGGTCTCACTCATACCAGGAATCTAGAAAACCTAAATATGAACCAGGAAAAAAAATAAGAAAAAAATCAAAAACAAACAACTATGAACCAGAGACACTCTGGGGGGGGTGGGGGGGTGGAAAGGAGGGATTAGGGTCAAAATCAGGGTTGCAATTGTATGGGGAGTATAAAAATAAAATAAAATAAAATAAAAACTGGCATCTGGCTAAGGAAAAAAAAAAGTTCGAATTTTTCTAAACAACAACAAAAAAAAAGTTGACACCTAATGGTTAAAGAGTCCTCGGTCCCACACATGAAAATTCAGAGCAATTATAAAATCAGTATTTGGAGAAAGCAATCCCCACTTCTACATTTGCACCACTAAAGACAAAAGTCAAGATGACTTCCAAGCAGCAAGAGATTTCTTATGAGGCAATTCTCCACATCCACAGTCTTGGGGATAACTGAATTCCAACCATGCCCTCTGGAATACTAAAACCTGTTGAATTCTCTCTCCCTATAGCAACTTCTACTGCCTCCAGGGAATTTGATTCAGTAGAATTTATCTTTCCTACGAGAGTATAGGATAACAGAGGCCAAAGCACAGTGCTCTCCAATTCAGGGAACTGGGCTTCGGTTCTTTTGTTGACAGTGGTATTTTCATTTTGGCTAAGATGCTTCGGTTCTGAACTCAGATTCAGAAATGAAAGCATTAGTCTAAGATTTGTGAGTTTCAAACTTGATGCAGTTCTGCCTGTGAAGGTGTTATTTCAGGTACTTCCTTGAGGAGCATGCCCAGAAATTAGCACAGGTGTCTGGTGGCCGGGGTATAGGTTTGGCCAGCAATGCTTCTGCCTATCAGCCATTTGTACCTACATGATTTTTGGACTTTGGGTGAGTTTTCAGTTTTTTAAAAAAATGCCTCTGATTCAAACAGGTTTGAAAGCAATAATGTACAATAATCAACATTTGTTCTTGTAATCTACATGTGTTTGTGAACATTTTAATCACTCCCTTGCATTTTAAAAGACCTTTCCAGAACTTGGTCAAAGGGATTGCTATGAGATTGTCCATTGAATCGATTACTATAAAGCAACTCGGCATCATGAACTTCCTTAATTTTTTCCTTTCAACCATGTTCCAGGTGCCACTCGGCTCTGAGCTACTCT